CATAGGAGCAGAGAGGCTGACGTGATGAAGGGTCTAGGCCCCAAACGTCAGCCTCTCTGCTCCTATGATGCTGCTTGGCCTGCTGTGTTCATCCAGCCCTGCACCTTGTTGTCTCTCTTTCCTCCAGATTATGTTGGCTTTTGCTGGAATTTTGTAGCAACTAGGACAAAAATGTTAGCTAGAAAGCAAGAGAGACTTTAGGGAGGGAAATCTGCTGTCCTTACCTGGTCTGGCCTCTGTGAGACCCTGAATTATAGCAATACAATTGATTTTTAACTATACCCTAATTAATTATGAATATGTAATAATTGCTGGCCAGTGACATCCAAATTCCATGAACGAATGAAACAAAAAGGATCCCCCATGGTTCCTCCCGCACTTTCTGCTTTTATTTCCACACATCTCTGATCACTTTCCTCTAATGTCTGAAGAGATACTGCTCCTCAATTACTGCCAGGCATGTGTACTGTGTTTTTAACCATGTTAGGTGGTATTTTGGCAAGGACACCAAATTCACTTCTGTTGCTGGCTGACATCACTGGTACTGAAGGTAACATCTGTAACTTTTACTTTTGGGGCTGTAAGAGGAAATTGATACTATAACTTTAAGGGACAGTCTCTGACAGTCAGAATCTGGATAGCTAAAGTTAGTACCCTATACTTTTATGTCTTTGGTAACAGGAAATTGTATACTTGCCTTTAAGTTGAATGTGTTAGCACATTTGCATTATCTGAGAGAGTACACTAAGTAATAGAAATTTCCAGGCTATTTTCAACAATGGCTTCTACATTTTAAATTTTCCAGATTTGATTACATCTACAATTCTAATGCAATAGCATTAGATTCAAAGCTAAATCTTATTTAGCCATTTGTAATTTTGTTATCATTATACAACTCAACATTGCAGGCTTTTAGCTATTTAACATTATACAATAAATATAAATAGCTCCCATTGTAAATGTTATTTCCTTTAATAAATTAAATGAAGATCACCAAATTTAATCATTAATAAAATCTGCCATAACTCTGCTGATAGGACTTGGGTAAATATAAGTAAGCATGTTGCATTATTTATTTTAAAATACAGGGCTGCTACTATTTTAGTAAAAGTTATAAAAATGTTTTGTATGAGAAACAAGTTCTCTAAGGTGTAAGTCCTCATAAGACTGGTTTTTGCAATATATGCTCAGTGGAAGACATGTCACAAACGTTGTGATGTTTTAGCTGATTTTTTTTTCCATCTGTTCTTTTTCAGGAATTCCTGTAAGTAATGTATTGTGAACACTCAAACCTGATTCATTCCACTGAGTTAAGAAAACTTATTTTTTTCTCTACTTGTTTATTTTTCCTTTCACGTGCATTTAGTAACAGAGATTTGCATTTCATGTTTAATTGTATAATTTGGTTAAAAAATTAGACATGACTGTTCAGTTTTTCACTCTAAAGACTGTTACTAATTGATTTTTGCCTATTTTGTAGCAATTTAAATCGATTGACTAAATCTGAAATGGTGTTGTCCAATCTGCAGCCTGAGAGCCATTTGTACACTGAGCTCTTGAAATCTGGTTTTTGAAATCAAAGCAATTCATTCCTATATGACCTTTATATTTCTTTCTTACTGCTTGCATTTCAAGACTTGGTGATGTTGAAAGTTTTTTTTTGTAAGCAATGCTACCTCTCTTGTGCATGAATTCTGAATTTGAACATCATGGTCTATTAATATCTGCAATTATAGATAACTGTAAATTAACAGGACTGAGCATTGACTTAAATTTCAAATATGTCACCTTAAGACTCAGGGGCACAAATTATATAGTCTCAAAGGCAAATAATTGGACACCTCTGCCCAAAACAAGCTAAAGTAATTAAACTGGAAATCATTCTTTAACTAAATGGTCATCAGCACATTTCATCATGCTTCGGTCAGTGCTCATCCATGGAATGAGAAGCAGTACACTGAAAGAGAGGGGTTTTCTGCTGGTGTTACTTTTGTAGTGTCACTGTTTAGCAGATTGCAAGTTCTTTTTAATGAGTTTTAACATTTATCATTTGTCATGTACCTAGATAGAAAGATTATTAAAAATATGGCTTTGTAATAATATTTTCTATTGTTGTTTCATTCATTCCACACCCACAGGGGCCACCAGGAAGAGATGGTTATCCGGTAAGTGGCAATTAAGTTTACAATTATTTTATTTCCCTTGCATTTCCATGTAATTAAAAGTATTCATTTGCAGGTGGTGAATAATATAAAATAAAATTCCTCCTGAAAGTTAATGGCAATAAAAATCTTTCTTTTACATAATTGAAGAAAAATCTTGTCTTTTTCCAGAAAACATCATTTTTCTAAATTTAAACCAAAATTGACTCAGCATGATCATTTGGACTCATCTGCTTTTACTTGACTTGTAAGAATTTTGGCTGAGGGTTTTCCAATAGAAGACTTTAAAAAAGATTTTATTGACAGTTGTTGCAAAAATGTGTATTGAATATCCTTGCTTTGTGGCAGATTTTCAATAGTTCAGTATTTCCACAAATTTATGAAGTAAAGTGCTGTGGGATTTCAAACTATCTCTTGATTTCCTTTCATTTTGATCCTTTCCTCCATGAGGAAAATGGATGAAATGTATTTATCTAACACAACTATGATTTGGCACTTGAAGGTTACTGAATTTTGACTGTGCCTCAAATCTTCATGCATAGCAATCACTTCTGACAAGTTTTGAGGGCAACACCAATTAATTACGGTAGACAAACCGGAGACTACACTGTGTACTTCTGATAGAAAAATGGGCATGAAGGAAAGCAGTCTACATGAGGGAGGGATTCAGCAGCAAATGAACTGAGCAAGAGATGAAATCGGGCAATGTTATGGAGATGGAAGTAAGTGGGCTTAGTGATGGTGCTACTTGTGTTCAGCAGTTCATGTTAGAGACAAATACGAAACCAAAATTGCAAATCTAGTTTAGTCTGAACCAGTTGCCAGAGAGATGGATGCAGTCAGTAGCTGGTAGGAGTGAAGAGTTCAGTGGCTTCAGTCTTCCCAATATTTAATTCAGTGAATGTAAATGGAAGAACTAAATCTTTTTTTTTTGTAAGTTATTTTTACTTAAGACTAATTTTAGTGACTTCCAAGCCATATTGTTAAAAAGAATTGCCTAAATAACAACGTAATTGTGAAGTTTAAATGTATTAATAGTTAAATGCTGAACATTCAGAAACATTAAAGGTTCTGGCCAAGAATTCCTTGTTTGAAGGTCAATCAGGTAAAATTCAGGTTGTCCATCGAGTCGACCAGAATTATAAGTCTGAACCTGGACAGAGGGACGATAGGCTGCTAACACCTCCACTTGGGGACTACAGAACAGTACCACAAGAATTTTCAGCAGAGCGTACAATATTTTACCATTTCTTGTGCAGCTTTCTTTATCCTCTGTGCCCAGCCTTGCAGCCAGTACATTGGAGCTGTCATTAAAGTAACATTTCTACTACTAACCCTACTGGTTAGCTGAAGCTACACCTTGACATCCAGTGAGAATGGAAAAGCCTCCAGGAGCTGGTATAAATGTATAGAAATCTTTGAACGTGCCAGCACAAGTTGGAAAGGCTGTTTAAAAAGCTTGAGGAATTCTGGACTTTTTAAAAAGAGGGAACTAAAATACTGATTAGGTTTCAATTGAAATATTGTGTTTAGTTCTGCGCACCACACGTTAGGAAGGATGTCAAGTCCTTGCAGAGCATGCAGAAGAGATTTACCAGAATGGAAAGAAGGACTTTAACCTGAGATGGCTATCCTTTGAGTAGAGGAGGTCAAGAAAATATATTATAGAGGTGTTCAAAATCATGAACCATTATGATTCATTAAATTAAAAAAAATCATTTCTAGTGACAAATGGTTGTCAACGAAAGGACACAGCTTTTAGGTACCAGGCAGAAGAACCAAAGGTGACTGAGACAACTTTCTTTTTAAACACAGTGAGATGCCCAAGAGGATGGCGGATTCAATAGTAACTTTCACAATCACATTGAGAAACTTGAAGAGGAAAATTTGTAGGGCAAGGGGAGAAAGCAGACAACTGAGACTTTCGGATAACTTTTATTAAAGAGACTGTGCAGACATGGTCAGATGGCTTCCTCCTTTGCAGTATTATTTTATGGTTCTATGTTATTATTGTGATCAATAACTATCAATAAATGGTTAGTTGCCAAATATAGGAAAAACATTTATTTGTGCTTTATTAGGAAGAAATGATTTAACAGAATGTTGCCTAAAATTAGTTTCTGCCATTACCTGAAACAGGAACATGTCTTTTGGTTCCATTAGCAATGCTAGTTGTTGAAGTACAGGAAAAGTTATACTTTTATGAACTTCATTTTGTGCAATATGAAGGCATTGTGGTAGAATGTCATGTATTACACCTGAACAGAATGCCAAATGAAAATCATGAGTAGGACTGTATGTCCACACGGTGGTTAACATTTTCCAAGAACTTAAATAGTTGCAAAATAATACTGGTCTTGTTGTCATCCCTGCCCAATTTATTGCTCTACTGTACATCCTAACTGGATAAAATTAATGCCAAGACAGTACAGACAAAAAAAATTACTTGATTATCCCTTGAGTTTCCAGCAGCTACCATAAGCTTGGCAAGTTACCTCAGCAAAACCTCATGACCTTGGAGAACATGTATGAGATTGACATACATTCTACCTTGAACAATCATGCCACCTTACCTTCTGGCACTTCCAAATCTCTCCTGATTTTTCTTCCTTCTGGGCCTCTTTTGTGACATCAAGGAACAACTTAACAGTACTCAAATCAGACAGTACTTACCTGAAATATGCGCTCACATTCCTCTATAATTCACTACATAGCAATCAAGAGGAAGAATCCTGAGCGATACCTCTGATTTTGTTCAGGAGGAGAGGAAGTTAAGAATATGGGTTAACATGGGCTTCCCAGAATCTATGTCTGCTCAAGTGCTGCAGTTTAAGAGTGCAAGTGATGTTCTCTCTTGTGTTGAGAGTTTCAAGGGCTGAAGAATGCTAAAAGAAGTTTGCAGCTAGCTCTTCCTCTGCTGGCGTGTGCTAGGTGACCTCTGTTGTTACTTTTGGATACCGGGCATGAATGCAGCAAATGGAACAAGCACAATTAGATAAACTTAACTATCTGCCTGGGAGCTCCTGTAAGAGCCCTAGTCCTTCTAATGATTGATAGTTATTAATATCCCTCTGATCAATTTCCTGCTGTAAACTGGTGTCCACAGATAGCATATGAACACTGTGGTTTAGTTTAAACATGGTTACCTGTTGGGTGCCTGCCAATCCTTATTCAGAGGTGCACCATTCAGTGGAACATTACAATTGCATTGAAGCCCCACTGCCATCATAGGACCCTGATTTGCGTGTATTATGAAGTCTTCTGACTAAATTAGGCAATACCTATAGCCAAAGTAAACAGCAGTGTTAAAATGATTATGGATAATTAAGAATGGCAAGTGGACCGTTTGGGTCTTAACAACAATGATGTATTTGTATAGCACTTTAACCATCACGAAATAGCCTAAGGCCCTTCACAGGAACATTATAAAGTAAAGTATGACACTGAGCCAAGCAAGGGGGTATTAGGTCAGGTGACCAAAAGCTTGGTCAAAAAGTTCAGACACCAAGGTGGAGAGATGCAGGGAGGAAATACCAGAGCGTGGGGTCTGGGCAATTCAAGGTATCATCAATCATGATGGAACAATTAGAATTGGGAATGCAAAAGAGGCCATAATTGAAAGCCCACGGATATCTCAGAGGGTTGTAGGGCTAGGGGAGATTACAGAGCAGGGACTGGCTGTTGGAGACAATGGAAGGATTTAAAAATAAATGAATTTTGAAATCAAAATAATGCTTGACTGAGAATCAAGGCCAGTGAGTACAAGATTGATAAAGAAATGGGACTTGCTGCAAGGCGAGACATGGATAGCCAAGTTTAGGATGACCTCGGCTAGGTAGACAGAATTGAGATTAGCTTGAAGTTTCTAAGGTTTTCAAGAAAGCTGTGCAGATACATGCTTTCAGGCAGTTGCAGAGCTAGCTTCTAAAGAGCCCAGTGGCTATAACTTAAACTGTAGCAACCATTCTCAAATCTTTAGGCTGTAATTGCTCTCTAAATTAGAAAATTAATATTTAAATCGGCTTAGCGTGCTAGTAATCTGCCACACAAAATGAATAGAACAAAATCCACATTCCAATTCCACAAAATTTAGTTTGGCTTGTTCTAATATTTAGGCCTGAGATGCTTTAGAATTCTCGACACTGTGCCCAAACATTAACAACGGACCACAGAGAAGTAGAGAACATACCATGCCTAAAGACAGAAATCTAACACAATACGTTTAGTTTCAAACCCATTCTAAATTTCTTGAAAGCTATGTATTACATATTGTTTGTTGTAATATTGTACCGTTGCCAAGATTGGAAATCACCACAAGGACTTATAAACATTTTGGGAGTACTACTCAAACTACACTGGAAGAAGGGGTGTAATATTATAAGCTAGTCTACCACAATAGCAAAATAGTCAATGTAGTTGGCAGAGGATTACTTCTCATTGAACATTTAAGATTGGATTGATTTATTTTCTACATTCCATCAATTTTGATTTTTATCTTTGGGAATTTATTTTGTTGTTGCCTATGACACAGCACATTAACAGCAAAGAAGTAACAGTATGGAATGTAGGATTTGAATTAACCCCAATTATAGAGTCTTTGTCGATCCTTCTCCTTAAAATATCCTTAATTTCCATCAATATTTGAAATCAGTACAAAAAACCACAAATATGAGTAAGATAATCCCAAGATGAGGAGAAATATTTTCTTGGCTGTTACAGAATTATTATAACACAGCTACACAGTATTGTATGTCACCGACTTAGTAAGCTACTTTTTATGTTTTAGCCCACTTTTTGTATCTCATTTTGTGTTTCCCTTCTCTTGATATGTCCTGGGGCTTTACATCAATCTTCAGCCAAGAAGGTAGGCAGGCAGTTTGCCAATTTCGCTCTTAAGATAAGAATTCAAGATGTATTTTTCAATTTCCTTTGGCTTGTGGAGAAGGAGCTAGTTCCCTTGCAGCATTATACCACCACAATATGACTCAGATGAGCAATTACTT